AATAGAGAAAATACGTAATATTTTATACTAACTAAATGGAGTAACTTAGTAGTACACAATTTTTGTAAATTCAGCTAACTGCTTTTTCTTTCAGTGGTGAAACCTTTTTTGTATATATATACGTAGATTTCATTTCAAAGACATTATTATTTAGCTTTTCCTGCATCACCGAAACATTATTGCAACTAAAAGAAACCTTTAAGCATATTAGTTATTTAGTAAATCAATTTTTTGGTTATATAGATAGTAAAAATAATTTAACATTATCGAAATAATGACAGTTAATTTAACTTTATAATACAATCCATTCTGCAATGAAAACATGTTTATTCGGTTGTAATTATTATTAACAGTATGAACTAGCCGACTATAAAGCGTTTCACTGAGTAACATATTTTTACACGATTTAAATTAAATCTGATTTAGAACACAGTTATAAACATTTGAAACAACATTGTTCCAAAAGTACCATTGAAAATAGTAAATGAATTATCAAATTTTATCGTGAATTTTTCATTCGTCAATAAAAAAATGGCAACGAACGTAGATAATCAGGCTATGTTTGATTGATGCTTTTAAATAGATGTGTGTATATGTAATTGTAAATTGCAATACATTCTCATCGATTTTTAAATACAAAGAGTAAATTAATATTTTCAGCAATGAAAAAAGTCTAATGTTTGTTCATTATTGCTATTTCAGTTTTTCTTTCGGAATTGTCAGGTAATTCAAATCCGAAAGTAGTGATAAGCAGAATCAGTCTTCGTATTGTGAATAAGACACATTATATCAAAAGTCAAAAGTAAAGATAGTATAGGTATACCTATAAAAAAAAAACAAATATTATTGTATAATTACATTGTATAAGACCAATATTCAAATAAGAAAAAATTTATATGATCTTTTTGTTTCTGCTAATCACTATCGAAAAACTGGTGAAAGAGAAATCGAAAGAATGTATCATTTTGTGTAGGGTAGCAGAGAATAATTGAATTACCTTCAACGTCAGTGTTGGAATACAAAAAAAATACAAAAGCAAAAGTATTACCTAATGATTTCGGGATTATAAACTTTTACGTTTCAGATTGAATTGAAAATTTCAACTTTTTTTTGGGTCTAATAAATTTATTTATCTCTAGTTAGGATTTACTAACGCTTTTGAGGTGGTTTGAATAAAAAGAAAGCACTTCTGAAAAAGAATAAGTGAAAACCTGGATTAGGTAAGCACGTTAGGTACTTAAACTAATAGAAAATTTATCTTAGTTGGAGATTCAAAGGAGAACGTATTCCATTTGCATGGATATCACTTTTATGTGGTAGGGTCTACCAACCTGGAAAAGTCGATGGAGCTTGAAAATATTAAAGAATTAGACTCAAAGGGGAAATTATTCAAAAGGAATCTGGAAAGTCCAGTATTAAAGGATACAATACGAATACCAAAATATGGAGCAGTATCATTTAGATTTATAGCTGATAATCCAGGTATTTATTAAGAATCAAAAGTCATGTTTAAATTTTAGATAGTAATGAAGGGGTACAAGGACATGACATACATTAACTTTTTCATTTCTGTTATTGCTTTATTAGATACTCATCCTAATAACTTATTGGGTGGTTACTTCAATTTTACGTAACCATAAATAAATTGAAGAGCGTAACTTCTAAGTAGTCTAATAATTTTTAACAGCAACAATACTTAACTTAACTTAAAACAAAACATAAAAATGAACAACACACAGGTACCTAATGAAATTGTAAATTGTATAAAAAATCGAATTCCAAGTAATAATACACAACTTTTTTTGCAACAAAATCTCAAAATTGATAAAAAGACTTCATGATGTTTTCCACCTAATCTATAAATTCACCTCGTATAAGAAACAACAAGTAAATTAAATAATGTACAAAATTAAATGCATTCATTGAATAATTTCACATGTACTTATTTCATCATTTCGACTGATTTGCAAATTATGTAGGGGTTAAAATAATTCGAAGTGGTCTNATAAAACTGTACCTAAAAATTTAGTTGAAAATTAAAACCCGAAAGGAGCATTTTTCCAATAAAGAATTTTAAAGCACGGGGTGTGTACGCACATCTACTTTCAAGGTGTTCCACAGCAACTAAAAAGCAAATCTGTAATCATGAAAAACATCTTGACAGATGTACCAAGGGAGGATAATAGGGTAAGTTCTCCTATCATTTTCTCTTCTGTGCATTGAATTTACGAGATATGACAAGGGGGGGGGAGGGTCTAAGGAAATGTGACGGTCGCCGTTTATCAATTTTATGTTCATGTTCTTCTTAACTTGACAGTTCTTTTTCTTTCCATTACGATGGAAAGTCGTTATCATTGCTATTTTTAATCAAAAGGAATTGTTTATAGGTGGAGGGCCAATTTTTGTGAGGGGGTTCGTTGAAAGTGTGACTTAGCATGATGAGCAGGGAAGGAGGGGTTCGAAAAGATGAAATTTTGACTGACGTATTTTATGGACAACCCCTTGGTACTTACTAAATATGCGCGATAGTATCGTTTCAATACTTACAGCAAAACTATCCATGTCAAATGATTTTATTATTAAAATTATCGAAACCAAAAGCGATGTGACGTTTAGCCTCTGGTTTATGATTCGGGCCATTTTTTGAGTATTTATAAACATAAGTGTTATTAGAAATACACTTACAATTAGTTACCTGATGACGACTGGAGATGTTACACAGTCGAAACGGAACGGAATAATATATAAAGACATAGAAGTCCGAAAGTCTAAATATATTTCTAATATAACCATGTTTGTAACTTTAAAACAAACATGTCGTATTAGTTATTACCATAATCGATATCAACTTTGCATAAAGAGTGAATATTTTAAATGGAAGAAGAGCCTTACTCCAAGTGCGAAACGTTGGTGTCGTTGATGGCTATAAATAAAGAATGCACCTACTTATTCTTATGAACATAAAAGATTATTGCTTTTTAATGTTTTTACAAGTTTTTTACGGTCTACAATTGTTTCATCATATTATGCCTTCCTCAGGATAACCTAAGGGGTCTTTTGATAGAAATTCATAATATGTCGGAAAAATTGCAGTTTAAAAATTTTATCTTGAAACTTTAAAATAAAATTCCATTTTATTCTCACATTTAATATATTATGCTTAATAATAACTCGAGAAGGATGGTGGATATTTTTTAAAAAATAATTTATTTTGTATTATTTAAGGTTTTTGGATTTTACGTGATGAAATGTCCTTAGAATGGACCAGAGGAATGGATGTAGTTTTTCATATCGGCTCCTGCTGTGATATGCCTTCAATACCCAGTAACTTTCCTAAATGTGGGAACTGGGTTGGCCCTGAATTTTTCTTACTGTGATTATTTGCAATTATTGTTTACTAGTTATGATTGTTGTTAATAAATTTTTTTCTATTAAGACGTAATTATTCAACGTAGCAATTGTTTTCTCGCTTTCTGATCGCTTATATATACTCACAGTAATGATCTTTTTGTTTCTGCTAATCACTGTCGAAAAACTGGTGAAAGAGAAATCGAAAGAATGTATCATTTTGTGTAGGGTAGCAGAGAATAATTGAATTACCTTCAACGTCAGTGTTGGAATACAAAAAAAATACAAAAGCAAAAGTATTACCTAATGATTTCGGGATTATAAACTTTTACGTTTCAGATTGAATTGAAAATTTCAACTTTTTTTTGTGGTCTAATAAATTTATTTATCTCTAGTTAGGATTTACTAACGCTTTTGAGGTGGTTTGAATAAAAAGAAAGCACTTCTGAAAAAGAATAAGTGAAAACCTGGATTAGGTAAGCACGTTAGGTACTTAAACTAATAGAAAATTTATCTTAGTTGGAGATTCAAAGGAGAACGTATTCCATTTGCATGGATATCACTTTTATGTGGTAGGGTCTACCAACCTGGAAAAGTCGATGGAGCTTGAAAATATTAAAGAATTAGACTCAAAGGGGAAATTATTCAAAAGGAATCTGGAAAGTCCAGTATTAAAGGATACAATACGAATACCAAAATATGGAGCAGTATCATTTAGATTTATAGCTGATAATCCAGGTATTTATTAAGAATCAAAAGTCATGTTTAAATTTTAGATAGTAATGAAGGGGTACAAGGACATGACATACATTAACTTTTTCATTTCTGTTATTGCTTTATTAGATACTCATCCTAATAACTTATTGGGTGGTTACTTCAATTTTACGTAACCATAAATAAATTGAAGAGCGTAACTTCTAAGTAGTCTAATAATTTTTAACAGCAACAATACTTAACTTAACTTAAAACAAAACATAAAAATGAACAACACACAGGTACCTAATGAAATTGTAAATTGTATAAAAAATCGAATTCCAAGTAATAATACACAACTTTTTTTGCAACAAAATCTCAAAATTGATAAAAAGACTTCATGATGTTTTCCACCTAATCTATAAATTCACCTCGTATAAGAAACAACAAGTAAATTAAATAATGTACAAAATTAAATGCATTCATTGAATAATTTCACATGTACTTATTTCATCATTTCGACTGATTTGCAAATTATGTAGGGGTTAAAATAATTCGAAGTGGTCTGTATTCTGTCGAAACTGCCAGACGCGGATCGCGATTTCGATCTTTTTGGATCTCATCAGCGCGTCGCAGGCAGC